TTAAAAGAATTTAAAGACATTCTGGGACAAATACAGATGTCAAAGACAATAAAAAAGAAAAAAAAATCTTTTAAAATTTAGTTTGAAATGTGTCAGCTTTTTAAAATTAAGCCCATTTTCAAGAAAAGATTAAATGTAATGACTTTAAAAATGTAATTTGGTGTAATTATCAAGTAAAAGGTAATACAATTCTTTATAATTTAAATACATTATTTTCAAAAAGTTCTTAAAAACATTGTCAATATATATATATATATATATATATAAAAAAGAATTAAAACAACTGTATGCAAGTTATTTTTACCTTGAAATATCAGTTTCACAATCTTTCTGATGGTACACTGACTTCGTGAAAGTTGAATGGTTATTGTCTGTTCTGGGACTATGGAAGTTCGGTCAGCGAGTACGAAATTTCCACAAACGCGTGGATTGTTTACGGCAGCAACAAATGCACCGCTGCGATATTTCAAATATTTCAGTCTTTTAATGAGACTTTTTCTTTATGATCGCCACCTTGACATTTCTACACTGAGCCATTCACATTTATTTTTTTAGTTCATAAATTGTTAATCATAGATGTTTTGAAGATGAATAAACCCATAGATCCTTAAAGGGGTCATTATGATGTTGCTTAAAAGAACATTATTTTGTGTATTTGGTGTAATGCAGTGTTTATGCGGTTTAAGGTTCAAAACACACATTATTTTCCACATACTGTACATTATTGTTTCTCCTCTATGCCCCGCCTTTCTGAAACGCGTCGATTTTTACAAAGCTCATCGGTCTGAAAAGCGAGGTGTGCTGTGATTGGCCAGCTATCCAGTGCGTTATGATTAGCCAAATACCTCAAGCGTGTGACGGAAACGTTACGCCCCTCACCATACTTCTTCCCACATAGTGACGTAGACATGTGGGGGCGTGTTAGAATGAGCCGTTTTAGGTAGGCGTGGTTGACTCTTAACTTTTATAAAGAATATCTCTGGATTTGAGACTTTAGTCTTTGCAACTTTACAGATCTTCTTTATGCACCAAGAGCTTGTAACACTCCAAAGAGAAAGGAACAATTGAAATCGCATCATATGAGCCCTTTAACAAAATAAGTGTCACTTGATTGACTTAAAAAAAGAGAGAACCAGAAACCTTGCTGGCAAAAAGTTTTGAAAACCATATCGAAAGAACGATAAATACCTCAAGAAGCATTAGCATTTTTATATAATCTCACAAAAGAACAGTGTTGCCATGTTCATGGTTTTCCTGCGGAATTGGGCTAATTTAAGCCCAACAATGTCCGCGGGTTGAAGCGACCCCAAAAGCGTGATATTTAGCCCCTGCAATGCGAATTTTTAACGGGGGACCCCCCTCGAAATGCCATTGGGCTAGTTTTGAGTAGCAATTGGGTGGGTTTTGTTGTAAAAACCTGGCAACCTTGCAACAGAGGCAGATGTGGCTCCACTGAAGTCCAAACAGAAAAGAGAAATGTTTGTCGTACAAAATAGCGGTGCTGAAACTCGACAAAGAGAAAGTAGCACCCCAGTGTAATTTTGCCCACATAAGACGATCCAGACCTCCTCTCTACTCTCTTGACCTTTACTTGTGTGAGGAGGCTACATAAAGACACTCGCACACAGACGGCAAAGATTTCCAAACCCGAATCGTTAAAGGACAAAATACAGCAGATACAAATCATCAGATCAATTTTATTAACAACGGTCCAATTCAACTCGTACAGAACCAGACATGAGAAATGACAAAAGAAAAGCGCAGTTATTGTGTTATATCGGTTTAGTACACCGTTTAATCAGATTCGAGGAAAAATACTTTTCATAATAAAGTTGTGCACAGAAAGTAAATACAAAAACAATTCATCATTTCTATGCCATATATCAGTTTGACAGACAGGAAGCAGTGGTTGTGAGCAGATGACATGCACATGTAGGGAGTTTTCCAGTGCGAGTTTAACTCATTCAAAAATAAATCACGACAGCCATATACCGTCTCGCCTTAAAACCGCAATGTGATTCCATAATTGATACAAACTACTTGCAGTTTGAGTTCTCAATAGAATATGAAACATTCAGAATGGCCTGGTCAGATACTCAAAAAACAAACAAAACAAAAAATAAATAATTTTGCTTCATGTTGATTGACTTGTTCAGATACTAAATTTGCTTAACTTTAGATTTTTTTGAGTATCTAAGTCAATCAAAAAAAAAATGTATTTAACCATTTAAGTACCTGACAAATCCATTGAAAATTAAGCAATATTAATCAATCAAAATTAATGTTTTTTTTTTCTTATCTTGCCAAGCCAAATAAAATTAGGCTAAATAATTTATGTATCTTCCCAAGGCAATGAAATAAAAATATTAACCATTTATTTGATTGGCCACATATATTTATTAACCATTTTTGATTGGCTTGTTCAGATACATATAGACACAAGCAAAAAAAATAAATGAATAAAAATAATAATTTCACTTAATTTTGATTGGCTTGGTCAGATACTTGGCGCAAGTGTGCAACAGAAGTGTACAATGTTGCTTGAAGACAATTAAGCCTATTTAATGGCTTTTTTTTATTTTGGGGTATTTTAGGAAATATGAACCAGACACACTTTTATAAATTAAAAAAAAAAAATGTGGCGACCAAAACTAGATCACCGAATACCAAGCCATTGAATTTTAATGTCGAGTCCAAACAGACAATGGTTTCAAACTCGTCAGACCATGTGAATGAAATATGGTACTAATATATACAAACACCATAGCTGAAGTAATTTGTATCAATATATACCAATTATACACCTCCTTCAATGCATAAAAATAGATCAATAACTGCTGAAAGAAATGATTTACAGGTAGATGAAGGACCTTATTTCTCCGCTGATAAATGAACAACTGAATTGGGAAGTGGAGGGAAGAGCTGCACTGGTTTATTGCTTTGAATGAAAACATAAAATATTTGGCTGAAACCAGTTTCTTCATCTTTGCAGGAAACCCAGATCACAGTCATGAACTGAAGCTTTCATAAGCAGGAATATGCAAAGCATCGAAAGCACATGAAGCTAAAAGGCAATTAGTGCATGAACTTTTGATTTGAAGAATTTCCCAACATGGATGCATTCAATATAATGGCCTGAAAAGAATGCATGCAAAAGCATATTAAAAGCACAAGCCATGTGATTTGATCTGAATAAAAGTGTCTATTCTTGCTGGTCAATTTGAATGTATCCTTTCCTGTCCTTGCTTAAGGGTGCAACCCATGGGTGACCAAGTTTTCTGCAAAGAAAAGAAAAATGCCAAAGTTAAGGCAGAGTTTGTTACCCACAATCCTTTATTAAAATGACACGGCTATTTACAGTACGAATGGTTCCCCCCCCCTCCCAACAGCATTAATGAATTCAGATTATTAAAGCACAGCATGAATGCACAAACACTAGAACCAAAGTCCACTTTAATGCCATTTTGTACAAAAGCATACAAATATAACAATAATGCAAAAGCCAAATTAATTTAAAAGGTAGAGATGCACAAGGACTGTAACATTACAGCTCTATTACGCTTTTAATAGTATACTGTCACTCAAGAGAGTGAAAATTTAGTGTGAACGGGGGACAAAATTGGGGGGGTTATGCATTAAAGCCTTCGGGGTAAAGAATTAAGAAGCTACAAATCCAGTCAAACAGCAACTTAGCCGAAAATAACTTGAGTTGTTTAGAAAAACTCGTAATGGTTCTTAATGCGTCGTAACAAACCAAAAAAATGGCTGCAAAAGCAAACAATCGGAATCTGTAGTGATTATGGACGGCACTGAGCTTACAATGTTTTAGAAGAGAATGACCGTCTGTGAAGGAAGCTTATTTCATAAATGTGTAAAACCGATAATTTATCTAAAACCGTCCATACCATGTCTGGAAACCCAATGATAGAAGCGAATAACCGTGTGATAAAATGACATCTACCATGTGGGTAAATCGTCAAAAATGTGAATTTGGTTCACGTCTCTGAATATGCTAACAGAATGGTTTGTTAATATGGCACAATGAAAGCACAAATCAAATGACTCATTCAAAGCTCAGATGTGACACGACCAAACCACAGCCATCGGAAACTGCATCGATAACAGCATGTAAACAGCTTGACGTCTTAATGCGGCCAGTGAATCAATACGAACTCGTAGTCCAGAATCAAGTCGCCCTTAGATTGGCGATATTTAGATCTTCATCGTCCATTTCCTAAATCTTGTGGCTCAGTTAAGACCAGTTCAAACGACGTGTGAAACCTTCATAATGCAGAACCCTTTCCCTTCAAATCAACCAACCAAATGACATAAAAATCATATGTATGACCCCTACTGCAAAGAAAGATGGGTGAAAAGAATGTTCCCAGTGACAAAGAAAAATCAACAAGAAGCCCATGATAAAACCAACACGCAAACAAAACAAATTCTCTCACTCGGACAGGCAAAAAGGCACAGACACACATCCGTTCAATCTTCAGCAACTGGCTGTTTCCTAAAACATGGACGTCAAAAATTGCGAGATCATCCCTGCAAACGAAAGGAAATCAAAAGCCGAACCTCCTGCGATCCGAACATCAACAATAAATAAAAACATTGAGGTGGAAAGCAAAACCAAGTCTTTGTGATATTAGTTGAAGAAAGCTGATTGGCGTCGTCTGGTGCGCCGGGATGTCGGCGTTTGAAAGCGCGCAGCAGGCAGGTTTACTCAGAGAAGCAGGTGACGATGTAGGACAAGCAGTCAGGGGGAAAAAAAAACAGCGTGTGTAGCAATTAAAACTGGGTCCCAATGTGGCCATCGGTGGTACCACGAAAATGCACACACAGCACGAGTCTAAACACCCGCCCCCTCCATCAAGTTTGCGTTTCTAACCCCAGTGTCCTTCCCCGGCCCAGGACGGAGAACGGCGTGTGGGGCGCGATGGGCTTTTGGGCCCTGCAGGGGGAGCTGAATGGCACTTCCCCTTCCCTGTACCTCCTCTTTACCTGTCCTTCAACTCCTGCGTCACGCGTTTGGTGATGCGGCCGCACAGCAGACCCATGAGGAAGAGCAGGACCACGCACATCGCCAACATGCTCAGGATGTAGGACTTGGCAGGAGATGTGAAAACCTGCCCGGCCAGGTCCGAGAAACCTTCCGCTGGCGCCACCTATTGCCAACAGAGAAACAGTATGAACTTGTGCTCATGAAAACGTCATCACCAGCAACTTGCATTCAGTGTTCCTTGCGTATACTTTAAATCTAGCTAAAGGCAGGGTGGGAGATTTGGTTCAAAAACGTTTTTTTTTTTTTGTTATGCTGGTTGAAAGTCTCTTCACATCCCAAAAGCATCCAATCATTTCCCTCGGTCTAAAGGTCTTTGCACACCGAGTCCGAAATTCTTGCACGTTAAAAAATAAATATGACCTCACGTTGTGTCAATCACATTTACACTAGGGCTGGGACAATAAATCGATGCATCGCGATTCGTGGATTGATTATGAGATTTTCGGAATGCATCGTGATTCTCGCTGGAATCGATTCTGAGCTTAGTTTTTAACAGCAGATGGCGCTCTAGGTTAGTTTTTAGCCGCACACTCAGATGCTCACGAAGAAGAGCGCTTGCGCGTTCAGCTGAGTAATGTAAGTGGTTAAATGTACTTGCACATTGGCTTTTATGCTTTATGATGTGAGATTAACGTAAACACAGCCCACTGTGAACATCCTTGTAATTCGCTTCAACCTTTTTGAACTTTATGAATGATTATTTTAGGTTCAAGTGGTGCGTGTGTAAGGAACTGGAAGCAAGCAGAATATGGATATTTCTAAAGCACGCAGTGCCATCTGCTGTTAAAAACTAAGCTCAGAATCGATTCAAGAGAGAATCACGATGCATTCCGAAAATCTCAGAATCGATCCACAAATCGCGATGCATCGATTTATTGTCCCAGCCCTTGTTTACACACTGCCTCTGAAACTTTCATCCGTTATAAAAAAATTTGGATCATGTTCGATTTTCTGCGTTTTTCGCACTCTTAGCAAGCATTTTGATAGGAAAGGAGGATGAATACAAAAAAAAAAGAAAAAAAAAGCATACGAAAATTTCGGACCTTAAGGCTACGATAAGCTGCCCTACCTGCTGGTCAATGTATTAGCATATCTCCACACACCCTGTTTGTGCAGACATGATACACTATCAGTGTGTTCATTAAGCTATTGCAGACCTAGGTTTTGGAGGAGGCGTGGCTTTGGAGAGGGATTTGCAGGGAGGGTGGGATCTTATGCTTTTTAAAGAAAACTCGAAAAGCGCAATTTTGTTTAAATGGTTCATAACCATTCTTCAATGTAAAATTCTCCAGAATTATCTATGTAAATTGTATGCATGTGATGTAAACTGGGCCTCATTCATAAAAATTAAAATGCAAATGATTGGAATTTACTAACTTAAACTTAGAAACATTTAACTCTCAAATATGAGGTTTACGAAGCATTTGTGAACCTGCAGAGGAGTTGGAAAATTGTTTTTCATTTTATGAGCAAATTACTCCATATTTATTTCATGAATGAGCCTCATTGTTTAAAAAACGGTTCTTGCGCAATTTGAATGCATTGAATTAATGCAAGGTGTGGGTAATTTGTTTGTAAAAACATGCTTAAATAAATTGTCATGCATTTTTTGTAAGATTTGTGTAAATTGCTCGTACAACCATCCTTACGTAAACTTTTTTTACGTTTTTTATTTAAAAAAAAAACGAATTTTTTAAAATAAATTGTTTGTTTAAACCATTCTTATGCAAATTCTCATGCTAAATCAAATGCAGAAACTTCTGTAAGATTTGGGCAAATTCTTCAGAAAACAATTATTCCAAATTTACTTTTTAAATATTTATATTTATATTTAAATATTTAATGAGGCTCAATGTTCGTAATAATTTTCCGCAAATTGTTCCAAATTGAATTGAGTGCAACAACTTATATTTGCGTTATCACAATATTTACTTAATTTGTTAGTAAAATCACGCTTATGTAATTGTCACTTGGGATTATATGCAACAATTTTCATATGATTAGTGTAAATTGTTTGTACATGCATCCGTACATAAACAAACTGAATGAGAATGTACAAAACATTTTCAAAATAAACTGTTTGTGAAACCATACTGTGCAAATTCTCATAATAAATGAAATGCAGAAACCTCTGTAAGATTTGTACAAAATCATACATTAATTGAATTTAATGTGACAATTTACGTACACAAGTTTTTGCATGCAAAAAGATCGGAAGACTGTTCTCTGAGGTAAATGCTATCACAATTTTCATAATAATGGTTACATGATTAATTTACACAGAACATATAACTTAATCTAACATTTTCAAGCCGTGTTGGCAAGTCTGCTAAAAGTGTTTTTAAATAAGTTTATTGAAACAAATTTATTAAGATCTGAAATACATGATTGTTCCTTAGAATTTAGCCAAAACAAGGCATCTTAGAAAGCAGCATAATGTCGCTGTTTACTTGTTAGAACAGCATGTGTGTAGTCAGCACACCTACAATACCAAATTTGGAATCATCGCTCTAGCGTTATGGAACACAACTGATGTTTTGGAACAACAACAAGGAAGAAAATACTGTTGAGCTTCTGAATGGAGGCCGATGGGATTGGATGAACGTTTACCTTAGCGGCGTAACTCCACATGTCAATGCGGTCCTGTAATCTCTTCTTACACTCCGGCTGGAGTCTCACACGCTTATCTTGGAGAGCCTCCATCAGACACGACATCTCTGCACAAACACAGAGTGCAGTAATTAATATCTAGTCTACCAAAATGGCATAAAATCATTTCCAGAATTACTTACGTCTTCCTCGCCCCGGTGGGATCGCAGCACACTGATGCTTGATGTCCAGGGCGCATGCTGTGTGCAGAACTGGATCCACAAAGATGTCCGCCTTGCTCTCCTTCAGTATGTTGAGAACCTCCTACAGCGGGAACAGCCAGTCAGAAGAGTTGTGAGAAATTGAACCATGCAACTACCCAGCGGCAAATCGACGTCAGAGCGCTCTTACCTTTTTACAGCCTTCATGGCTGATCTTCAGCAGGTTGATTTTCAAACACTCCTCAACTTGACCCGTCTGCTCCTGCGCCGCTACTTCCTCCGCACAGAGCCGCAGGATCTGGGACAAACAGCCATTATTGGACATTTGAGACCAAAACATCTTGATGTACGACATACTAAGACAGTGAATGTTACCTCATCACTGCACTGGAGCTGCAGCTGCGGGTCGAGCCTGTAGTCCAGCGCGGACTCCTGCAGAATGACAGTGATCTGGCCCTCGCAGTCTGGAGAGAGACGCTGGAGACACAAACACACGCTCTTATATGGAGTAAAGGTGCAGGTTTATGTGCATTCACAGTGCTAAAGGTTACGAACCTGGTCTGCGTATTTGAGTTTGAGGCAGGAGATGACCTGCCCCTCCAGCTCGTTGTCGTCTTTGGCATTGTTCAGAACGTTCAGGCAGAACTTTGGGATGTCGGCTTTGCAAGCCTTCCTCAGCACAGGGTTCAGACGGTAGTCTAGAATGGAGGAAAGAGCATCAAACTTTAGTGATGGAACCAGGTTTTTTGACTTTACACGAATAGGGCACTTGTATCTCATTACTTTTTATAGCAATAATGGCACAAAAATATAAATTGTTAAATCAAATGATTTCAACTCTTTCTAAAGTATGGTGGGAAGACATTACAATTTCATTACATTTTCTAAATGTTTACATTCACACCTGTTATTGATGTTCTTGTAAGTGCTAATATTTCCCTTTCATTTATTGGAAATACAAGTTTATTAATCGCTACAAACCAACATTTAGTCTCAAACTGGTTAGCTCCTGCTGAGAGAAAGCATAATTTAGGCAAAACCTATAACCCTGTTACCCATTTTAGCAAAACTTAATTTTACATCTTGAAAATTATTTCAGCCATATTGATTTAATAGTTATTAGCAGAAAAAACTGTTGCTGGAAAATATTTATTACTAGGTTTTTAAACAGTATCAAGACATCTTCTATTTTTTGTAACGGAGTTGAAAAACATTCGTCATTTAAATTAACAACAAACCAGCATTTAATCTCAAACTAGTTTGGCCCTGCTGAGAGAACATGTAATTTAGGCAAAATGTACAATCCTGTCACTTGCAACTCTGTTACTCATTTCAGCAAAAATATTTTTTTAAATGTTGGATTATTTCACTTATATTTATTTAATGGATGTTAGTAGAAAAAACTGTTACTGGAAAATGTTTATTACTCGGTTTTTAAACAGTATCAAGACGACATCTATTTTTTGTAACAGAGTTGAAAAAACAAACCAGCCTTTCTTCTCAAACTAGTTTGGCCCTGCTGAGAGAACATGTAATTTAGGCAAAATTTACAATCCTGTCACTCGGTTACTCATTTCAGCAAAATTATTTTTTTAAATGTTGGATTATTTCACTTATATTTATTTAATGGATGTTAGTAGAAAATTTTTTGGTGTTCCGACTCTAATTGTGAAGATAAATATGTGAGTGATTAAAGAAAACCCGAGTATGTATGCGTGTCTATGTTAGGATGCGTAGGTCGTACCTGTGTTCTGGGTGATCTGTCTCTTGGTAATCATTTGTTTGCATTTCGGATCCATTAGTTCGCTGTTCTTGTTTTGTTTGAGACACTGTAAGAGGTTCTTTGCATCTGTGTCACTGCAGAAACGCTGTATAATGAAGAAAAAAAAAGTTCTTCAATGCTTTGTAGATTAATCAAACAATTTCAAGCCATCATTAAATTCTGGGGTCTTTTCAGATGTAATTGACGAGGTTTCACACCCTGATCATCTGCTTGCAGACTCTCATGAGCTGGAAGTCGAGTTCTGGGTCCATCATTTCAGTCTCCTGCAGTTTGAAGACTTTCTGATGGCAGTGCTGGGTCAGCCGCTTCTTGTTTTCCTTCAGACACTCGATCACCTGAACAAGCACAAACACACAGATGAGCAGATCCTCACAGTCAAACGGAGGATTAGAGAGCCAGCTCATCTGAATTTACCTGAGCGTTTCCAAACACCACGTTCTGACAGTGCTGCTTGATGTCCTGCCGACAGCTCTCGTACAGATCCGGCTCCAGACGAATGTCCTCAGACTGCACGACACACACCGACACATCTCAACTTCACAGGATATAAGACATAGCATAGCGCAGTACACTACAAATGATTAGACTCATTTAAATACATTTTAGATGGATTTGATGTACTGACCATCTCCAGCTCTTCCACTCTGAGCTGTTTACGACACTTCATTGAAACTCGCTGCTCTCTGCCTTCCTGTAAAGTGTCGTTCCTTACTGTGGTACTCAGACAGATCACCACATCCACCCTAAGAGCAAACAGACCATCAAAACCTTCCCATCATACTCTACATTACCTCTAGAGGAGCTTTCGTAAATGTAGCCAATCTCACATAATTTTTTTTCTTGGCTGGTTTAGGCCTGTCATAGATAAATAAATGACACTAAAACAGCCAGTAGGTGGCGACAAGTCCATGTCTTAATGAGTGATTCATTGAATCATTCATTCAAACGACTCATTCAAAATGGCCAATTCATTTAGAAACAAAGCAAACGACTGTCTTAAAGGGTTAGTTCACCCAAAAATGAAAATTAGCCCGTGAATTACTCACCCTCGAGGCATCCTAGGTGTATATGACTTTCTTCTTTCAGACGAATCCAGTCTGAGTTATATTAAAAATGGTCTTTGATCTTCCAAGCTGTTTAATGGCAGTCAGCGGGTGTTGCATGCATCAGTCCAAAAGAAGTGAAATAAAGTGAATCCATCCATAATAAAAAAGTGCCTCACAAGGCTCCGGGGGGTGAACAAAGGCATCCTGTAGCAAATTGATGTATTTTTGAAAGAAAAATAACCATATTTAAAACGCAATAATTACTTTAATGTAGCTTGCGCTCACTGTTGTACACTGGAAGCAGCTCCGGGAGCATGACGTATGAGTTCGGCTTTGCGCATGCCCCGCTCAGAAGTGACGAACGCGGAAACGCAGCGGAGAGATCAAAACAAAACAACGGTCACTAATTAGAAGTACAAAAGAGGTTTTGTAAAGAAGAATGTCGGAGGATTTCAATATAAGCCAAGAGGAGACTGGTTTTCCTTTGCTAAAGTAAGGAAACTTTGCTTCCTTTGCTCCTGTAAACAAACGCTGGTTTTCACGAGACTCACCGGCGCATGCGCAACGCCAAATTCTTATGTCATTCGCCCGGAGCTGCTTCCGTGTACAACTGTTGGCGCAAGCTAGATTAAAGTGATTATTACGTTTTAAATATGGTTATTTTTCTTACAAAAATGCATCGATTTGCTACAGGATGCCTTTGTTCACCCCCTGGAGCCATGTGAGGCACTTTTTATTATGGATGGATGCGCTTTATTTCACTTCTTTTGGACTGATGAACTGCAACACCCGCTGAGTGCCATTAAACAGCTTTTTTTAACAACTTTTTTCAACAATTTTTAATATAACTCCGACTGGATTCGTTTGAAAGAAGAAAGTCATATACACTTAGGATGCCTCGAGGGTGAGTAATTTATGGGATAATTTTCATTTTTGGGTGAACTATCCCTTTAATGAATGGATGAATCGTTGACTCAAATGATTTCATTTAGGAATTAAACACCACAGTGTTGCTCCAAGACCCACAAACGTTCTGCTCTGGCTTTGATTGAAACTATTTTAGTCAGCGAAAAAACCCCCCAAAAAAAACCACCAAGACAATTTTGTTTCTAAATATGAGATCGTGCTCATGTGCTGATAATAGGGAAAACCACACTCTATTGCTTAACTACATCATATCTTATAAATACAAAAACCAAAACTGGAATTATATGGGCATTGTAACTGCATTCATCATGCAGTGAATGCTTTTGGACTTTCAAGACATGTTTTTGGTTGTTGTTTTTTTTGCATATACGCAGACATACTCAGATAATGTCGTTAAAACAACATTTGCAATATTATTCTTGAGGATAAATAGCGCTCAACCCTAACGATAATGTAAAATGTATGAAACCAGTTATGAAACATTTGCTTTGCGTGACAGCCACGCGCTCACTTCTTTTTGATGTTGGGGCACAGTTTGAGCACGTCCTCCTTGCACGCCATCTTGAACTTGTACGAGAAGCGAAAGTCCTTCATCTGGATCTGAGGATGAGGAGGAGAAACGGACGGTTGAGACACAACAGTAGTAACAGTAGAAAGAGCGAGTGTGTATTCATCAGACGTACCAGCTGGAAGTGTGTGACTCCAACAGCGCATTTCTCGTTCATTTCCTTCTGGTTCTTATTGGCAACGAGGCACTCCATCAGGTCCCCTGTGTCTATCTGATTATCGGCCACCTCCTGCGAAACAAACACAGGCAAATAGAGAGGACAAATGAAAAAAACAAAAGAAAACAAGCTACTTCGTGTATTTATTATATAGCTTTAAGTTATGAAAAAATGATTTGCAACTTACGTGACAGTAGGACTGGATCACAGGCTCACAGGCTCTAATCAACAGGGCCTCGATCTGAATGTCCTGGAAAACCAGACGCACCAAAATCAGTCCAAACCCACCCCAGACGCCTCACGTCCAGCAGAGAACAATAGCACCCAAACATAGACACCGAGGCTTTTTAATTTCAGATGCAAACTGCTGTAAAAATCACAAAAGCATTTTTTTTTTGTACCTCAGACTCCAATTCTGTGAGGTTTCCCACCACATCCCTGCAGTTAGAGACCAGATCATCTAAATGATACTGTAAGCACTCCAGTTCCTGACAGACAAACACACACAAACATTGAGCAATGCATCACTGGGAATTTCTTTGCAAATTCAAACATTTCATATGAAACATTTGTTGTTGTCCCAAGACTTTTTGTGAAGCATCACAGGCACAAATCTCATGTTTTCGAAATCATTATCTAACATAAAATTAACTACGGCCATTTCAGAAGCTGACCTTCTTAATTGTGTCCAACAATTAAATAAAAAAAATAATAAAAAAAAAAACTTAGCAAACTTTTAATATTAAAAACTTACATTTAAAACACAAACAATTAAAACAAAAACCTTTAAAATAATTTGCATTATTAAATATTACTGTGGTAATAATTAGCCACGTCACCCATGTTGTGCTCAATCCTGTTACCTTACCACATTTCTTAAATTTAAAAGAATGTACATTTCTTAAAATTGTGACCCACAGGAAGTAACGTCACTGGATTCTTCCTGAACCAGGGCAAAAAGACAAATTTTGTAGAAAATCTTGTTCAAATATTGTAGTGTTGACAGCATTCACCAATCTCAACCATTCAATCCTGTTACTGGAGTTATTTTAACAAAAAAATAATCTCTAATATTTTTTCTTTAATTTATGGAAATGCACGTTCGATAAGTACTACAGTCTCTGCTGAGTGACAGCTTAATTTAGGATATGAAGCGTTACTCGCAACCCTGTTACCCATTCCGGTGTAGTTTTTTTGTTTGTTCTTATGAAAATTGATTATTACATGTGTGTCCAAATGTATATTTAAAGGGTTAGTTCACCCAATGGAAATGCACGTTCGATAAGTACTACAGTCTCTGCTGAGTGACAGCTTAATTTAGGATATGAAGCGTTACTCGCAACCCTGTTACCCATTCCGGTGTAGTTTTTTTGTTTGTTATTATTACATATGTGTCCAAATGTATATTTAAAGGGTTAGTTCACCCAAAAATGAAAATTCTGTCATTAATTACTCACCCTCGTGTCGTTCTAAACCCGTAAGACCTTCGTTCATCTTCGGAACACAATTTAAGATATTTTTGATGAAGTCTGAGGGCTCTCTGACCCTCCCATAGACAGCAAGGTAACTACCACGTTCAAGGTCCAGAAAAGTACCAAGATGATCGACAAAGTAGTCCGTGTGACATCAGTGGTTCAACTGTAAAGTTACGAAGCTACGAAAATACTTTTTACATGACAGTACCATGACGCAAGCGTGTGGCTGGCGGTGCTGACCCATCTTGGTACTTTTCTGGACCTTGAACGTGGTAGTTACCTTGCTGTCTATGGGAGGCTCAGAGAGCCCTCAGATTTCATCAAAAATATCTTAAATTGTGTTCCGAAGATGAACGAAGGTCTTACGGGTTTCGAACAACCTGAGTGTGAGTAATTAATGACAGAATTTTAATTTTTGGGTGAACTAACCCTTTAAGTTTGATGCTTATTAAATGTTATTTGCTAGAAAATTACAAAGAAAAGAAAAGAAAAGAAAACAAACAAGTTTTTAAAGTTTATTTAGACATCCTAAAGGTTAGTAACAGGGTTGCAAACATGGTAAACCTCAAAATGAACAGAAAACAAAACTGTCCATTTGTAAGAAAGAAAAAAACTAAATTGTATACCGTACATGGAAGGTGACAGACAGTGTTATTTTACTATCAGTGAGATTATTAGTTTTTATTATTTAGAAATATAACTAACTTTATTTTTATTCTTATTTTTGTATAATTTATATGAATTTGACAATTTTATAATTTAATTAATTTTAGTTTTTCGCCATTTATATTTATTTTTTAATGTCTATACAATTATTTTTTTATTTCAGTTTTAGTTTAGTACACAAAGTTGGACTAAATAAAAATGAGAAATTAGCTGAAATAAAATTAGTTTTTTATACTCATATTTAATATTTTTTCAGTTCAAGTTTATTTTATTACATGTTTTTAACGGTTTCAGTTTTAGTTTACTATAGTAACCCTTAGGGCGGCCATATATAAAAAAAAAAAAACACAATTAAGTCATATTTAAACAAGTCCTACATTTTAGTAACAAGGTTGCAAAGTTCGTAAACCTCATAAAATGAACAAAAAACAAAAGCACAGATCATTTTAAAGAAAAATTTTTAATTGCATGTAACCAATGGAAAGTGACGGTTATAATTAGTGTGATCTCATAGACTGACCTGTCCAGCTTCAGTCTTCTCACTGCACCACTTCCCGAGGTCTGTCATGCATCGCTGCTGCAGCTCCGGATCCAGTTTCACATCCAGAGCCCTCTGGTGGAGGATCCTCTGCACCTCTGTCTTACAGTCCCGAGATAACTGCAGATCGACTCAGATGCATTAGCACATACGCGCACGCGCACACACACACACACACACACACACACACACACACACACACCTAAAGCAAACAAACAGACCCACAACCAATCAATCAGACACGCACACACAGTTCTGGATCCTTCTACAAACAGCGATCTGTGTGCACGTGTTTGACGGGTGTCATGAAATTTGATACCATTACCATAAACGTTACGCAAGTATCGTCTATTTTTAGATTAGTCTGTAAAAAAACTCCCAAGACCCACATCATCCGAGTTCATTTCCTGTCAATCATTACTCATTTAAAGCCCGCAGCATGAATTAATGTGATTTCAGTCTCGGCAAAGGAAGGTGATTTTGATTCGTCCCTGCTAATTTGCTGAGAACATGCATTTGTAGCTTGATCACATTTACTCTTAGCGTGAACGTCACCAGACCTGTCAGGAACATAACTGAGTCATATTTCACAGCAAAACCCAAAGAAGATATATAACTAAAATATATATATATGCTTTGCTTGAATTCCATTTTGAGACCATTAAGATTTTCTGCACCGTGACATCAATTTATGCCGTTTATAATAAAAAATGTAAGACAAATAAGTACAAATAAATACTAGTTAACTAGTACTAAACACTTGTAAATAAAACTAAAAAGTATATAATTTGACGTGAATTATTTATTTAATATAGATTATTTTATTACTGAATTAAGGTAATGATAATTGAGGGCGGTTGCTTATTTTACATGAAAATAATGTAACAATGCATAAAATGTTAATAGTAAAAACTGTTTGCGTGCTAAATAACTGATTTCTCCTTTTGTTTCTGAGGTGAAATGCAGCTTAATCGTGTTTTTGACAGGTTTGTGAGATTCCCCTCTTTAAGGAACCAGAAGATACTTACATTCAAACTCACTTCAGAAGTTTCTGATGAACCCTACAGTTACATTTAGGAAGCCTCAGATAAGCTATAGTTTCTCAATGTCCTATTTTCTGATAACTCACAAAGTGTAACATGAGGGTGTTCAGTGAGTGTCAGTCGTACCCGTCGTCCCTGCATCTCGGTGCGGTAAGTGTGCCGGTACAGACAGGAGAAAACGGCTCCGGGAGGCATGAACTCGCTGGTCTCGTTCCAGCCGTGAGTGTGACAGATGCGGGCCGCATCGTTCTGACACTTTTTGTACAGGATAGGGTCCAGTCTGTAACCAGAAGCACAGGGAAATATTTGAACATGACCTCACATTTAGCCCAACAGACACATGAACAGGAACTTTCAAAGCTGTTTGCTGACAGGGTCTCGGTTAAAGAGAATCAGAGAAACAAATCTCAGGTTTTTAAGATCATGATCTAACACAAAATGAACCTTGCTGTGACAGTACTTTCGACCTGCTCAACAAAACAAAAACAAAAAACTAAACTAAACAAACAAACAAAAAATCTAATAACTAAAAAAAGACATTAAAAAAAACGAAAACTAAGCAAATAAAAAAACAAACAAAAAAACAAGTAAAAAAAAAAAACTAATGATAAACAAAAAAAAAAAAAAACAACAAAACAAATCTAATAACTAATTAATAATTAAAAAACAAAAATAAAAAACAAACAAAAACTAAGCAAAAAAAAGTAACAAAAGACCTAATGATAAATAAACAAAAAAATAAACAAAAACAACAACAGAAACAAATAACACAAAAATAAAATACACCTTTAACCCATTTAATCCCACCGGTCACAATAGTGATCATGAAAAAGGTTTCCATTAATAAAGCTCTAAAAACATTACTAGCTGATGTTTTAGTGCACTTCCTGCAAATATGGAAAAAATAAAGAGTGAAGTAAATATCTGCAGTTTCAGGAGTCTAGTGGAAATCGTCACGTGACCAGAGCAGTTTAATTCCTGTTTGCATCTTGAGAAGATGGCTGCATCCAAGCTCCAAAACAAAAGCTAGTAAAGCATGTTAACATCAGGTTTGTGGTGCACATTGTCTTTGAGGTGTCTAATATTAATATGAGTTCACATATCTTCAGTTATGCTGAGTGTCGTCGAACGAGTGAACATCTTGATGCTCACAATAGCGATGGAGGGATAACAGTGAACTTAGGTAACGTTATACGATATAAATACAACTGCAGTTGTTAGCGAAAATTGCACTAAAATAATTGCATTCAATTAAAAGTTCAACTGTTACAAATAAGCTACAATATTAATGTTGTAATACTTTAAAAACGTTACATTTTTTGTCTCTTATCTCAGTATTCCTGTCAGTGTTATATAAGGATTTTTTATGCATAATAGTAACCCTATAATGTGATCAAACAGTTTAAAATAGCTGGGCTGAAATATATAACTATTTTTATGACTGCAGAAATACGTTAATTCAGTACACGCATTATCCCACCGGTTACAATTGTGACCGACCATAAAACGCAATTTTTCACACACTTTTCCAAAGAAAAAATAAAAAAAATAATTATTGATTATTTCAAAGGGTTACTAACGACACATCATTTGGATATTTTCATGTCTGGGAAAACTTTGGGATTAAACGGGTTAATCCTTAAGGGGGGGGGGGGGGGGGGGCAAATAAGGAAGAACCTGAAGTGTGTCATTCAAAAGATTTATAAACAGGATTGTCAAAATTAAAAGTGTGGAATGAAACCTAAAGGCAGAAAAACTCTTGTGAGTTTCGTGACTCACTTCCAGTCTCTGGAGATGAAGTACTGCAGCTCCAGCAATCTGTGTTCACAGTCACACACACACACACACACACACACACACACACACACGCACACAATATGAACAAAACGGACAGAAACAAGGTCAAATGTAAAGATCAATCAACAGCATACTGGAAAGTTTATGGCAGCACGGGTTTGTTCAGAGCGATTATTGCAGTGTCACATGCAGTGCCTTAAGCAACAGAAAAGGCTTCGCTACGAAACGCAAATGCAAAACGTCTCTAATATTAATTAGGCAACTATTTGTTCCATTTGTTGTTTACTGGCAGAAAGGTTTTCTAGCTGGCGCTCTGGCCCAAATATCTAAACAGGAGCACTCACATGGGGTCTCCGTTTCGGATGTGCTTGCAGGCGGTCTGGATGACGGACTCGCAGGCCTCGTTCAGAGCACGATCAATGCGATAGTCGGCCCCGGGGTCTGTTTCCTGTATCAGTGTCTGGAGCTGATGGGACACACACAGTTATGAAAGCCATAAATCACAGCCACTGCATTATTTAACATGAATGAATATCTCACGACTTTATTCACGATTTAAATCAATTCATCACAGGAAGTACTGAAACACAGTGAATGCATACGACTATGTATTATTATTACTAATTACCTTGATATTTTTCAGCCTCTTGGTGATATTTATTAACTTCATATTTATGCATTTCTTTTTTTTTAATCAGGATAATCAATATTTTGACTAAACATCTATCTATCTAAACAAAAACTAAAATCTAAACAAAACAAAAAAAAACACAAAAAAACAAAAATAAAATAGTAATAAAAACAAAAATCGCAAACGCAAAAAAAAAAAAACTAAGACAAACACAAAAATCAGATACAAGTATCTATCTCTATATCAAAACAAAAACAAAAAACTAAAATTAGTGTAGAAAAGCAAAAAAATAACTAAAACAAAACTAAAATACAAACATACAAAAAAAACAAAAGATACAAATATCTATCTTTCTAACAAAAACAAAGAAAATAACAAAAAAATACAAAACAAAGGAAAAACTAAAAACTAACATACAGAAAAACAATAAATACAGCAATATCCATCTGTTTATTTATGTTTATCAAAAAAAACAAACAAACATGAAAATAAAAAAATAAGTGAACTGTAATTTGACCAAGGCATTAGTATACTTTGTTTTGACACAACGGGGAAAATAGAGTTTCTGTTAATCAGCCAAATGGACACAGTATTCCCAAAAATATCTTTCTCCAAAATAATGCCAGATATCATTTTTTGCTAATACTAAATGTATCTGAGATATTCAAGATATCGACCGGACCAACCAGCATTTGAGTGCACCAAAGTGCATTTCCACTCACAGCTTTCTGGCAGTGGCCTTCCAAGATGCCCTTGTCCCGCGACACCCTCATGAGGCAGTGCAGGGTTCGACCCTTGTGGTGCAGGCCGGAGCAGTGCGTGTCAATCTCCCCTCTGCAATGCAGCACGATCTCGGGACTGAGCGAGTAATCTTCCATCAGCATGCGCCTGTAGTCCAGCATCTCTCCCTGACACTCGCCGCTCACGGTTTGACCTGCGACAGAACGAGCGCAAACATGAGGAAACCGGATCTATAGGGGGCAGAACCTGGGTCCGTCCGCATCGCATCAAAGCCTCACCTCGGTGCACGGTTGCCTCCAGACACAGCAGCAGGTACGAGAGCTTGGCCTCTCTGGCTCGAGGCATGGCCGTGTCCATGTTGCAGCGGTATTTACGCAGGTCCGGTTTGCAGGCTTTAGCCAGCGAGTAGCTGACCTTGTAGTCCTGAGCGATCAGCTTCTGACGAGTGGAAAGAGCGTCCTTGCACTGCAGAAAACACAGATACGCAAGTTCAAACGGAAAAATGTGTAATAATAAATAAATGTGTTTTAAGCAATTTTTCATTTTAACTGCTAGGTAAATAAACAGATGAGAAGAAATTATGGATAAAAAAAAAAGGCCACGAGTCAGACTTGAACCCATATTTTTCACACGAGCGCCACATCTCAACACACGTGTGCAACCATTTTAAAATGAAAACGCAAATATAGTAGAGCTGTCACAATATTAGATTTTCTCTACGTGATTATTGTGGCAATTATCTAGAGAACTTAAAAAAATACAATAATGCTATCAGTCAAATCAATCTTTCACCGCTCATTTTTCTTTTTCTATTTTTAGTAAAATGAGTCAATAATTGGCCAATAATCTATGAGAATGAGAATTACATCGTCCGGGGGGGGGGTATACTTTTATATACAGTGTAATTGTCCAATGATATAACTGCAAGAGAAAGTATTGGAATATATATTTTCCTCCCATCTCATATTTATTCCATTTAGGGGTTCCGGGCTAATGTCTAACAGCCATCGTCTATCGGCCCACCCCTATTATCTAGTATGCTCATTTTCTGTACACCATCACTATAAACAGTTCTCAGTAATTGCTTCTGCAAAACAAAAACCAAATGTACCTTGTCCGACATGCTCTCCTCAAACTTGTGGTTGAACAGACATTTGTAGACCTTTCCTTCTCCTGCTGGAGTCTGAGACAAACGAACAGAGCAGACCATCAGCACACAGAAGTGCACAGTGAGCGTGTATTAGAGGATTAAGGCGTACGTTTTCGCAGAAGTGCTCGCGGTCTTCCCGACAGGCGAAGTAGAGATGGCGGTCGAGGTGGAAGTCGTCGGAGGAGAGCTCTGCCACGCGCATGATTGACTTCTTACAGTCCTCTTTGATGGTGTACTGACCCGGCTGCTCCTCGGCTTCAGACACCAGGCCTTTCTCCAGACACGCGATCACCTCGCCCTGCGAGTGGATGTCCTGTAGAGAATGGGCATGCGTGCTTAGGACAGACAACAGTATTTCATGGCAGTTTAACAAGCTGTCCTGGTCTCCAGAACTGTAGTTTAAATCTCAGACCAGCTGATTGAAAACTGAACCGGCTAAAGTGAAGAACTAGCCAACTGCCTCTGAATCAGTTGACAGCTCCCATTACAACAAAGCATTGGACCTAAAAAGCCTTTGTCTGTCATGCTAATCAGAGCTACAAGAACTTGGATCTTCATTCCATCTAATTTACTTAATGGGAAAATTCAGCCATTTACTCACCCTCAAAAAAAGTATTTCGTTCATCGTTCATGCTTGATGTGCGAGAACAAACCTCGTTGGTTTTTGTGTGCTTCAAACAAGCAAGTTTGATCTTCTGTTGACCGTATTTGAAGTGCTTTACGTATGTGCGCTGACCAACGTTTAAATGTGAATAAAAGCCTATGGATTACTTTTAAGATGTCTTTAAGAACATTTTGAAGTGTTAAAGCTTCGGACTTGAGTGACAAATCTCTCAGGTTTCATTAAAAATATCTTCATTGTGCTTTAAAGATGAATGAAAGTCTTATGGGTTTGGGATATTTGAATAAGTTGTATCAATTTTGGCAATTTTCTTCTGTGGGTGAAGTATCCTTGCATTATAACGCTGCCCGATATTAACATGCTTATTGTCACATTATGGCCAATAAATACTATTTTGTCAAAAACAAAAACAACAAAAATCAGTCATTTTAAATTCTACAAATTAGGCATCACAGCACTGTAATGCACAGTATGAGAAATTGATATTCATTTTGATTCACTTAATATTACATTTAAGAGTGTTATTAAACATATATTTGAGTGAGTGTTAAATGACAAAGGTAATCTAAACGTTAAAATAAGTTAAATGAGCATGCATAATTAAATATCCAATATCAACCGATGAAAAAAAACTGTTTCAAGAACAACTTCAAACAGAGTTGCAAAGATGAATAAAATAAAGAGTTCTAAAAAGCACGTATTTGTTGCTTTAGTGTTCGGCTACAGTCCTGTATTTGACACTAATGTAGCAGAAACTTGCAGAGCTGCTAAAAATACTGGCACTGTTATCAGAAAGCATCAAAAAGTAAACAGTGGTTTAAAAAAAAAAAAAAGTGTTACATCCTTTTTCAAAGACTGGTCATACTCCTGCTTTCAGTTACCCACAATGCACCTGGGCTTACCTTCTCTCCAGTGTTGACGCTTCCACAGTGCAGTTTGTTGATGTCGTCCTTGCACTTGTCCATGAAGCCGCAGATCAGCCGGTAATCGCTGAAGACGATGCTGGTCATCTTGGTGATGTACTGGTTACACTGGTACTCGGAGATGTTGGTGCGGTGATCTACTAAACACGACACCAGGTAACCTTTCCCACGTTCCTCAGCGGCACACTCCTTAATCTGGAGACAAACCAGGTTTAAACGATTTCGGTTTACAGTGACTTTGTGGTACAGTTTGAGATAAAAGTTGGTTTTCCTTCGCCACCTCTATGCATACTGACCCCACTGATGGTGGTCTTGCACACCTCAACGGCGACAGACTCAAACTTCGGATCAGTCGTCAGATTGAGCTTGTAGTTCCACAGCAGCTAAGAATAAAACAGGACGATTTATTTGCATAACTTAATGTTACAGTACTGAATGAATAATGATGTTTACTAGGGATGTAACGATATCATCAATATCGTGATAGCAAAACTGTCTCGATATCATCGTGGTCACTTGACGATATGAAACTATAGCTCTTCTGGGCAAAAAGTGTAGTTTTTAAAATATATGTAAACTTCTTATGCTAACATAAAAGGTCTTTAAAGTTGTGTTTTGGGCCATTATGCTTTGGCGCGGTGTCTGTCAAAACAACTAAAACCTAAAACACAATATGGCTTAGGGGCCGTTTACACGACAATGTTTTCATCCAAAAACTGGAAACTTTTTAAGCGTTTTGCCTGTTCGTTTACACGACAATGGCGTTTTGGGGACTGAAGACGCATATTTTTGTGCAAGTTTTAGAAAACGGCACCGTTGTCGTTTCCGTGTAAACACCCAAAACAGGAATCTTTGAAAACGGTGACGTCATGCGCGTGCGTAGTACGTGTTAGGTATGTAGACATGTGCAGTACGTGTCGATTTTAAAGGTAAGCGCGAACAAACATACACAACAATAGCGGAGTACATGGTACTGTTGTTGCTGCTCAAGAGTTTGCTAACGCTTCTACAGCCAAGTGTGGATTTGCTTCACCAATATTACAACCAACAGCGGAGACGCATCATAAACATCATATAATCGTCACTTCCCTACAGGTACTGTTTACTAACAAGGTGACAGCGCCAACTACTGGCCTGGCATATGTAATACAGCGTTTTTCGCCGTTTTCGTGGCTGTAAACGCGAATAGTTTTGAAAACGTTGTCGTGTATATGTGAAACTTTTTTAAAATGCAAGAGAAAAACTTTTCAGTTTTTGACAACAACGTAGCCTTAATCCCTTCATCAAGTCAGTTTCAAAGCGAAGCGCACACATTGATGAGGCGATCAGCTCGTGATACGGTGTTTTCCGCGCCGCAGAACGGCTTTGTTCACAACGTATAAACGCAGTGAACTCGTTTATTGCAGTGCTGTGAGTTTAGTGCGCGCTTGGGAACGCAACGCCACCAGTTAGGCTTTATTTTCGTGACAGCATTTCACTAGATTTGTAGTGAGACGCGTTTTTGTAAGCCTGTTTTCACTGAATCAGAGTTTTCCTTCAAAATAAAAGATAGAAAGAATTTTATATAAGATAGAAGAATTTAACTTTAAAATGTACAAAATTTAATTTTTTTCCCAATTCTTTATTGGTCTTTTTTTTTATATTGCAATAAATATTGTATCGTGGACGTTATATCGTGATATTATTGTATCGTGAGATTTTGATATCGTTACATCCCTAATGTTTATGTTTCTGATACTCAATATTTTATTATTTTTAATTATATTAATTTAAAAATTAACACAACCAATTTAGATATTAGCCTAACTGAAAAAAAGAAAAGAAATGCAAAATTAAACAAAATATTAAAATACTTCACATTATTTGAAAGTGAGAATGTTTATATTTGTTGCATTAAAACAAAAACAAAATTTTTTAAATAAAAACAAACAAATCCAAACAAACAAACTAAAAAAACTAAACAAATCAAACAAAACAAAAAGAATAGTTAACCTCACTTTTGGTTTGAAATATCAACAAAAACTCCAGCTAGTTTGTTTGGGTTTAACCATCAACCTTCATTCAGATCAACATTCAGGACCAAAAATAACAGGAATAGTGTGTAAACACTTACATGATTGCAGTCTGAAGCGATCTCTGTCTCCTAAAGAGAGATTAAGAATAGAAAATATAAATTATAAGTGTTCACACAGACAAAAGTAATAGGCATGTGCAAAACGACATGAATTTCAAGACTAGCCCTGTGTAATTACACTGGTTTTGGGTTCACCCCAATATTTAAGGAACATTTCAAACATTTTATTGTGCTTAAAAACAAGTAGAATAAGTGCAACAATATAACTGAACGCAGTGCCTCAAAGAGCATTTTTAAAGTCTTTAACTTGACGACACTTGTTGTGGGATGCTTAAAACATTGTGACACTTCAGCAACCAAAAATGTCTGAATATGTATGGCTGTAGTACTGGTGCTTTAAAAGAGAATAAAAAAGACAAAACAGCCAAGAAAAGAGAGTGTTACCACACAAACAAAGCTATGCTTAAAAATATCAAAACAAAACAAGACCACAGGATTCGCAGTTGTTGGACAACAAGTCAAATATTGTGACCCATCCCTAATAAACAATGCATAAAATAGTAACAGTTGCTAATGTTTGTAGATGTGCGTTATATTTACTTTTAGGCTTCTGAAATGTATTTGCATTAATTTGTGACCCCAGGCAGATGCAAACAGAAATCAGCTTCCTGCTACACATCCTGTGTGTGGACTGTTAATATTTAACAAGAGTTTTAGATGATTATCTGATAATTAACATTCTGACAAAAATTAAACATTTGAGTATGAAAATGCATTATTAAAACAACCTAATTAAACTTCAGGCTCTTTTTAACTTCAGTTTAGGCAGATTGAACAGAACGAGGTGAAAGAAATAAGTACATCCAAACTTTTCTTTTTTTTTTTAGCCTTTTAGTATCAGCAAATTTCACAATCTGGTGGATTTACATTATTTAATGCTGGGAGGATGTTTGTTCACATTCTCCTGGAGAATCAAATGTGTGCTGAGTAAACACTGTGAGTCTCAAATGACAAAGCACACCGTTTAAAGCTACCATACCAAAACACACTGGTAATTTGCATGTCAATTAAACACACAGCGTTCATACTCACTTTATGATACTCTCTTCCCTGTGCAATTCTTCGGAAGGAACCGAAAGGTTAAAACGTACAGCAATGTTTGGCATGACAAGAAGAAAAAGTATTCTGCAAAAATCCTGTGACTGATGATTGAGCATTTAGGTTTGACAAATGTGTGACATTGCCTGCAAAATGAAAGCTATTTGACAAATATGAGCACACAGTAACATGAAGAATTAGAGAGAAGGCCAGCATCTGTAGAAACTGAGAGAGTATGTCTTCAATATTGCCTTTGGCAGCTTTAATCAAAAATAGAGGCCTTTTAATTATATTTTATTCCTCCGCTAATAAAATACTCTTTGTGATGTGAAAACTTCAGCAGTCAAGAGCAATCAACATAACAGTAGGGTCTCCCTAACTGTGCTGACTTGATACTGATCTTTATTTGAACAGCTGAGAACAAGCCCAGACAGAAAGCATCCTCGGCATAGCACAGGACAGCTGTTAACGGCCCGCTGTAAATATCAAGCGTGTAATACTTGATTCTCATGGAGCTGAAGGCCTTGATAAGTGTCACAGTGTTACTAAAAAAAGCATCCAAACCCAATCAAACACAGCAACCTGTTTTGACCTCGGCCTGTCCTGAGAGCGTCTTCTTAGCCTTTGATAGTTGTAACAGGATTTATTAACTCTAAAAGGATTTAAAGCTACAGCTTCTCTGTGCAATTATGCTGCATCTGTCTATAATATATAATGCAAGTGAAAAGGATAAAATTATAACCCTGTATGTTTGCGAAGCAATATTAGAACACTGCTTAGAGACCAGAAAAATCACTGCTTATTTGGACCGTCGCCTCAACATATAAAAGGCCTGGCGACAAGATCTTTTCTCCAGCTGTGTCAGGATTTTATTTTAGAAAACAGCATTTTTAAAAAGCCACCAGGGCCTTTTGCCTCCAGCAGATTATAAATTATGGAGGTAAACAAACTGTCTCCATTCAGTCTTTATTTATGAGAAACAATGAGGAACATTGTACAGCTAAATAATTGACCTTAAAGTAAGGACTCGCACTGACAGTGATTCTCCATGGGAAGACAAAGTCTAAAGTTCAGTCTGAGAAAAACACGGAAAACTCTGAAGGATATATTCACATGATCATTAAGCAATAAAATGTTACAAACTGAAAAACAACCTGAACTAGATCAAGTGATTACCCCAACAAACCTGTAACAGCGATGACAAAATAACCTATAACAGCCAGTGGCGGCTCGTCAGGGGAGGCACAGCTTCCCCATAATTTTGAGGTGAAAATGGGAGGACGATTTAATGTTAATAAAATTCACAATTCATTTCAGTTCATGTCTCAGAATGTGTATTTTTTGTTTGTAATTTCACAGTTTTAATACCATAACGTGAAAGCGCCGCTTTTCTATCGCGAATGTGCCGAATCTGCTGATGTAATTACAGCCGCTAGGTGATAGAGAAGGGGAGGGGGAGGCCGAGCGAGCGCTGAGCTCTCGTGCCTCCGTTGGTAAAAAAAATTAGCCAATCAGCATCGAGTGTTCACTTTCAGCGCTGAGGAGTGTTGAGAAAAGAAACCTGGCAAGGGAGGCTAGCCTCCTTCTGGTATCAACCAATCATCACAGAGACGTAAATTACCTGATAATAGTTTGAACGTCTGCCGCTGCGCTGATAATGTACCAAGTACTTATGATGAGTAGCGATATTGAATATTTGATTGCCAACAGATTTACCAAGCTGTCATTCAAACAGTATACATACAAATTTAGGGAAAACAGCCTAAGCTGGATATAGGCTACAGCAGTCGGCTTAATTAAATGGCGCAACAGGCAGCTCTCTTTTAACACAGATTTTTAAGAAGGGATGGATGTTTGCTTCAAGTGATACGCCAGGGTAAGTGAAGTTATATTATCTTGCTGTATGTATGTCATTTTCTTTACGTTTTCTGACTAAAAGCAACCAAAAAGCCATTTTAAAGTGGTTAAGCAAATAATATAATAATAATAATCGGCAGGGATCCTAGACCAATACAATTAGTGTGCCTCCTCTATTTTAAAACCCACGAACCGCCACTGATAACAGCTGAGAAACAAGCTGCAATGGTAATGAACAGCCAGAGGAAAAAACCTGTCACAGTGATGAACAGCCAGAGAATTGACCTGTAATATGATGAACAGCTGAGAAATAACATGTAATATGATGAACAGCCAAAAGAAATAACATGCAATGGTGATGAACAGCTGATAAATAACATGTAATGGTGATGAACAGTCAAAGAATTAGCCTGTCATGTGATGAACAGCCGAGATATAACATGTAATATGATGAACAGCTGAGAAATAACATGCAATGGTGATGAACAGCTGAGAAATAACCTGTAATGTGATGAACAGCTGAGAAATAACATGTAATGGTGATGAACAGCCAAATAATTAGCCTGTAATGTGATGAACAGCTGAGAAATAACATGTAATATGATGAACAGCCAGATAAATAACATGTAATGGTGATGAACAGCTGAGAAATAACATGCAATGGTGATGAACAGCTGAGAAATAACATGCAATGGTGATGAACAGCTGAGAAATAACATGTAATGGTGATGAACAGCTGAGAAATAACATGTAATGGTGATGAACAACTAAGAAATAACATTTTATGGTAGTGAACGGTCAGAGAAATAACCTGTAACATGATGAACAGCTGAGAATCTAATGCACTGAACAGCCAGAGAAATAACCTTCATCTGTTACAAACAGAAAAACAACCTGAACTAGACCAAAGTGATGACCCAAAAAAAACCTGAATGCGATGACAAAACCTATAACAGCTGAGAAACAAGCTGTAATGGTAGTGAATAGTCAGCGAATTAACCTGTAATGTGATGAACAGCTGAGAAACAACACTTAATGGTAGAGAACAGCCAGAGAAATAGCAGGTAACTGTGATTAACTGCTGAGAAATATCTAATGTGAACAGCCAGATGAATTAGCTGTAATGTTATGAACAGAGAAATAGCCTGTAACAGTGATGAACAGCCAGAGAAATAACCTGTAACAGTGATGAACAGCTGAGAAATAACATTTAATGGTAGTGAACAGCCAGAGAAATAACCTGCAATGTGATGAACAGCTGAGAAATATAATGCGATGAACAGCCAGATGAAATAACCTTTATCTGTGATGAACTGACAGAGAAATAATTTGTAATAGTTATGACCAGGCTGGGAAGAACATCTAGTAAAATAACCTGCAATGTGATGAAGTGCTGAGAAATAGCTAACAAATATCCTATCCATTGATTTACCCCTGCAATGTGATGAACAGCCAGAGAAAATGACCCACCATAAACAGGCCCTGCCTGCCAGGCCTGAACAGTCCAATACAACAGATCACAGAACCAACGCCAAACCCATAATCAGCACAAGTAAAGGAAAACCCAGTTCTGCTAGTTAAGAACCATTCAACAAAAGTAAAAGCGTTGTTTGTGTAATCAGTAACTAAGAGCTAATTACCTGACTCGCATTACACATCTATCAGACCTGACACTGACAATAAATGGGACACTTTAGAAGTATTATTACACAAGGACCTCAATGATCATATTGCTTCCGTATCTGTGATCATGCCACTATTCAAACGATGTGCACCACCACCAAACAATGGCTAACCCTTGCCAAACTAATAGCAGTACTCACATATCATGAACCCTCCTCTACAAATGAACACTGCACAACCAGTCAGTCAAGTCGAACAACAGCAGAAATTCAGTATACAAGCCATACGTGTTCATACCAAGGATGATAACTACAATGAAACCGACTATAGTATAAAGTTTTAATAATCGTTCTAACTATACCACAACTCCAACAACATTGAATAATGATAACCCCGGAATCACTTTCAGAAATTATTTTTATATTTTATAGTTATTTTTGAGGTGAATGTGACTAAAACCAAATAAAAACACAAATATTTGCAAATACTCTAAAGAATATATAAAAAAAGTGTGCATTTTACAGATATACCTATACATGAGAATTATAATTCTGCTTAAGAATGATATGAAAATGAGCTTTCTCGGAAGTGCACGATGCAACATTATATCAGCCAATTAATCTGCCGATTGTTGATTGAATGTTAACGACTGATTGAATGCTCATTTATTCAAACTCTTGCATGTTTGGAACAGGTTTTTCTCTGTTGAACACAAAAGAAGATATTTTGAAGGATGTTGGCAACCAAAGAGTTGACGGTAGCCATTGACTTCCATAGTAAGGTAAAAATACTATGTACATCAATGGCTACCGTCAACTGTTTGGTTGCCAACATCCTTCAAAATATCTTCTTTTGTGTTCAACAGAGAAAAGAAACTTACACGTTTGGAACAACATGAGGATGAGTAAATGCCAGGATTTTAATTGTTGGGTGATCTTTTCCCTTCCCTTGTGTCACCAGAGAGAAGTCAGACATTTTAACTGAAAGATTGAGTTATTAAATTTATTAAATATTACGAGATCAAATTAAAATAAACAAATATTTGTATATACATATATACAAAGTGCAAACGTTTACAATACACAGATTTTAATTTCCAAAACAGAAAATCATGCATATTTTATTTATAATGCCGACTTTAACAGAAGCCACTGTGCTCACCTTATTTGCTAGCATTAACGTTACATGCGCTGCGTCCGAAAGCTCTAAAATGCTGCCTTCGGAGGCATCAAGGCATGTCCGAATCCTAATTCTGCTTCACTTCCGGTCTCCGGAGGTACCTTCTGATCGAATTTTGAAGGCAGCATAGATGTATCCTTCACTGCCTTTGATATCCCACAATCCTGTGCGTTCCTTCCATTCCGTGACAGTTGGGATAAAAAATAAATAAAGATGGCGTCTGAAAGTTGCGTTTTTTGGTGGTCAGTTTGTGTGTAAATGTATATTTCTGACTAACTTTCTGCACTTTTGATGTTATTTCCATTGAGAAATCAGTATTATATTATATATTACATCATGTTATCATCAAAACTCGTTCTGTTTTGTTGTAGATCATTAAACCGCTACGCTGCCTCAGAGTCAGAAGCCTGTCCGAAATCAGTTTCATGAGGTGTCTTCGTGCAACAACGCTGCCTGCAATCATTGACTGATAAGGCAGCAAGTCAGTATTTTACCACCCTGCTGCTACTAGTATCGGTGACGGCATTTTTCATAATATCATAACATCATAACATCATAATATCATAACATCATAATATCGTAACATCATAACATCATAACATCATATCAGGTCGCGCACGCAAATAGTGCCGGTGACGTCACAGAGGGGCTGACTCGGACCGAATATTTGGGCGTAACTTACTGGTGAGCTCTAAGTAGGCAGCACACAAGGGATTGAAACACGGCCATTAACAGGAAGCACAATATTAATCGTGATAACCGGATCTTGAACCCCTGTACGTGACATTCAGAGGCCTTTCTTGTCAATCTGCGTCTGGTTTTTAATAAATATGAGCAAATATCTTCTCACGTCACCCGTGCTTGTACCTTATGAATGTATATGTCCTGTAAGTTATGAATGTTAGCACACTAACGTAACGTTATGTAGACTGATGATCAGTCAGTGTTGCTCTGTACGCGGTTTAATCGCCCCGCGCTCACAGACTATGTGTTAAATACAGACTCGGCCGTGTTTTCTTACGTCTTTTCGGTCCTGCAGGCACTCGAGCACGGCCAGGTTGTTGTTCCAGGAGTGTTTGGGGCAGATCCGGCTCACGTCCTCCCGACAGGCCGCCTCCTCCGCGAGCTTCCAACCGCCGCTGCGCCGCGCCGCGGAGGCCCCGTCCAGCGCCGCCGCTTTCCCCTCTCCCGCCGCGTTTCTGCCTCTTTCGGGATTCTCCGCGGCGTTTTCAGTGTCCGATTTGCCTTCTAGAGCGTTAGACATCCAGCCGGAGATGAATATCAACAGCAGCAGTCGCTGCACACGTCTACACGCCGCCATCTTCGCGAAGAGAACGTTCGAATCCTACTACGGCCAGGAGGACGCTCATGAATATTAATGATAACGCGGTGACGTCGCGTCGCTTGCTGAAAGTCCGAGCGGGTTGTGTTATTAATATTCATGAGATAAATCCCCAACCGTAGTAGGATTCGTTAGGTCTCGGTTGAAGTGCGGAATTTAGGGTTCACGAACTAAACATGGGCCACGTAGACTAAAGATACTTGGTTTATTAGATAAAAGGAAGATAAGGAAAGAAATTAGCATGAAACAGGGAGTTGAGAAATGGGCGGGGCTTGGAGGTCCAGACTTTGTATGACGGGTGTGTAACTATAAGTAACGTTATTTTTATGTTTTAACTTTTCACTGTGTATTCTCAGTCAAACAATTTTAAGTGTATCAGTGTCTTTATTCAGGAAAAACTATGATCCAGGACGCTGCTGCAGTAACGCCTAATGTTGTCACCTGGTTCCTGTAACGTTTCTCAGCGATGACCAGGATGCACCAATCAGGATCGTTTATGATCACAGGATAGTATATTTATTTTAATCGAGATTCTTTTTGTGTTTGAATTACATTTGATGTCAAACAATGTTTCTGGAAATAACACGTCAATTCTATCTTCTATCAAGCAAACGTGTCTTGCAAAAAAGAAAGAAAGAAAAAAAAGGGAATATGGCTCAAGCCTTTGGGCTCAAGGGAGAATGCGCCCTCTGGAGGAAAACAAACTTATATTCTGCAGAAAACAGTTATTATAGCTTGTTAACGAGCAGTAACAATTTGTATTTACATGACACAACTTCAGAATTATGCATGTTGTAATGTTTTATTACACTCTATTTATTTACGTCTGACCGTAGATTTCAATTACAACACATACCTTGCAAAAGGGGTTTGTATATATATATATATATATATTAGTGCTGTCACGATTAATCGTGATTAATCGCATCCCAAATAACATTTTTGATTACATGTGTGTATAATGTGTATATTTATTATGTATATATAAATACAAACACATGCATGTATATATTTAAGAAAAAATATGTTGTTTATGGTCAATATATTTATATATAATATAAAATATAAGAATATAAATATATACATGTAAATATTTTCAATATATATACTGTATGTGTGTGTATTTATACATACATAATAAATATACACAGTACACACACACACATATATTATGTAAACAAAAACTTTTAATTTGGATGCGATTAATCGCGATTAATCGTTTGACAGCACTAGTATACTGTATATATATATATATACATATATTCTGAAGGTTTTTACAGAGGGTTTGTACATAGAATATTTGCATGTTATTCTTAAAATATGGTGAAATTATCTTTTTTTATGGCTATTGACAATATTTTCTGATTTATGGAATGATAAAAATATATATTCAAAATCCCATCGTAAAAACCTTTAACTATAATATGCCAAGAAAATGAAATAATGTTGTTTTAGGCTTTATAATTTACGTAAATTAGTCATTAGATAATTTAAACATATTTCAGAAAACTTGCAATACAAAATTATTTACGACTATGATTAATTATGGAAAGGGGAAAGTATGGTGAGATCTGTTAGTTAAAATATTGGCACTATTCACTTATGCTTGTAGTAAAAAAATAAAACAATAACTCTTATTTTAATTACCAATAACATATTAGCCATGGCCCAAATTTACAACCCTGTTACTGCTGGACCACTGCAGAGGAACATTTCTTAAATTTATGACACCGAAGAAATAACTCGATTTTGACTCAAATCCCAGTTAAGACAATATTCCTAATATCAACTTTATTAACTTAAAAAAAGATCACTTTGTATTTTTCCTATTGATTTCATTGTGCCACTCCTATATAGATGTTTTTAAGGTTCTCACAAACTGCGTCAATGTAGGCATTTATTCTTTTATTAAAAAAACAAAAAACACTTACATATATACGATGAAAACACTGATCACTCTTATCTAAGACATTAATAAAGCCCTGATTTTAAGGTCAAAAACAGAAAACTCTTTATAATGAACAGAAGATAATATAAAGGATTTAGATTTAAAACAAACAAAACACAGAAAAAAGCACACAGTGAAAAGACAACAGTGTCACCCGGCGTCCCAGTCCACCAGTATTTGGTTTATGAGAAAGGCTTATTCAGATTTTTGTTTGAATGTTACTCTCAGCCTCACTGCCATTTATAGACCTTGAGCATCTTCTCGGTCAGAGAGGCCACAAAGCTGCTCTGGCTGACCTCAAACGGACAGATGTCCAACACGGGGAGATCCGCAGGCATCTTCTGAAGCAGAGCACCAGTGCCGGCATCCCAGACCTGCAGACAGAGCGGAGAAATCATGGTGAATATGTGCGCATAACTAACAGGACCAGCATCAAACTGCTTACACAAACATCAACATTCATAAGCAATGCGTAACCAAATGAAACTAGATACTGAATGAGAAACATGTGATGTGATCCATGTGTTAGTGACTGGATGAGGAGCGCTTCTCACCATGGTGGAGTTTGTGGCCTCGTCTCCAGCACACACTAGCGTGGCTCCTCCTCCGGCCGGACTCTTGAACACGGCGTTCTTGGTGAGTAGCTTGCAGGAGGATCCCGCGGTGAAGGTCTGGACTGGAGAGCAGGAGCAGACGGGCGGCTGCCTGCTGTCTGTCTGAGGCGTCCGGCTGAGCTCCATTAAAACACAACGCAGTGACGGGTTTGCGCGACCTGGACGGCACAAAACAGACATGAACCGAGACGCAAGAAATCAAAAGACAAAGACAAGCAATCAAATACAGTAACCTTAAATTAAAATAGGAATGTGTATTATATAAATCATTATATCGAAACAATATGTGACCCTGGACCACAAAACCAGTCTTAAGGGTCAATTTTTAGAAATTGAGATACAACTATTTGAAAATCTGGAATCTGAGGGTGCAAAAAAATCTAAATATTGAGAAAATCGCCTTTAAAGTTGTCCAAATGAAGTTCTTAGCAAAGCATATTACTAATCAAAAATTAAGTTTTGATATATTTACAGTAGGTAATTTACAAAATATCTTCATGGAACATAATCTTTACCTAATATCCTAATGATTTTTGGCATAAAAGAAAAATCAATAATTTTGACCCAAACAGTGTATTTTTGGCTATTGCTACAAATATACCCCAGCGACTTAAGACAGGGTCACATATTAGTGATTTTTTGTAATGTAAAAAAACTCGATTAAACAACTGAAATGAGTGATTTTATGACATCATTGGGCCATTATTATCATTTTATTTGTAAATATCTATTTAAAGTCACAATGAAACGGCAGTAGCGACACGAATTCCGAATTGTAGCAAACATTCAAATAGAATAAATTCAAAAGTGTAGCAAGAAAAGAAAAGTAGCACAGAAAAAATGTTGTGGGAAAAAAAAAAAAAGTTCGCCAGAAGTTTGAGTTTGATTAAACATTACAAGGTAAATAAAATAAAATAAAAGTATATTAGACAATATATTTTAATAAAATTAGATTTTTTAAAAAAAATTTTAATTATAGGGTCAATGACAAAAATCCAAAAATTTAAGGGGGTCTGAATACTTTCCGTACCCACTGTATATCACTGTATGTATGAATTGCATTTTATGTATTTTTAAAGAAATTATATTACTCAAAAAAATTGTTTAAAAATTGTAGCAAAAATCGTCATTTTTCACATCTCCTGATCACTAGGTGGTGCTGTGCTGAAACTACATAGGAAACCTCAGGTCATGGTTGTCATAACTAGTGTTGTCAAAAGTACCGACTTCGGTACTGCAATTTTAAAAACATCCATTTCCCGTTAACATTTGAGTGCTGTTGAACGGATTCTTAAACACCGCTGATTGGCCATAGTGTTCACGCGCTCAACAGATATGACTGTGATTGGCTACAATGATCATCGCTTCACGCTCTTCACCGAGTGCTCACACAGGAGCGTTTGAAAGCCGAGTCTATCAGCGCGGATCCATCTATGTGCAGATATATTAGGGATCTGCTGATAGACACGGCTTTCAAACACTCCTGAGTGTAGCCAATCACAGTCATATCTGTTGAGCGCGTGAACACTATAGCCAATCAGCAGTTTTTAAAATTAACAGTTTGACTAATCAACTTAAATTTCATAATATTTTATTTTTTTGTCATAGTCTGAAGATGATCTGGATCAATTTTCGCAAAAATCAGACCAATGGTCTAGGAGTTTGAAAAAACAAAAAAGTATGGCGGTTCAAAAGTTATTAGCATAAATGGAAATGCAAATTTGAGATGTTGGTGGCGCTAGAGGGTTTGAGTTAGAGACTCCAAATTTGCAGTGCTTATTATTGAGACTATCCTCTATCTGTAGGCTAAAGTTCGTAACTTTTCCTCAAGCGGTTCTATGGGCTGCCATAGAGCAGAAGACGATCCTTCAGTGCTTGGCCCCTAATATTAATAATAAGAAAACTAACAGATACAATAGATGCTTTCGCACTTTTGGTGCCTGGCTCCTAAATATTAGTGATTTTTTACTAATTACAGTTTAAATGGGATAAATACATAGAAGCTGTTTTTTGTTTTTTTTTAAACTGAATAAAACCAACAGAACAGTATAACTCTATACTGGCAGCCATCATATTACTTTTTGGCGAAAAAAAGAAAATAACTGCAATACGTAAATATGCGAACAGGGCTGGTATGTGAGTTGGATATGGACCTGGTCTGTACGTGACGAGGCAGTGTCTGCTGTCCGGCTCCACCTGCATGTCTGTGCAGTTGCCGGACTCTAGAGGCAGGATGTGGGGCGTGTATGTGGTTCCCTCCATGTGCTCCCAGAAACAGCCGCCCTCCAGCGTGCCTGCGATCAGGCCGCCACACGGGAACATGCTGGAGGCGGCGCGCGGGATGTAGGACAGAGACACCACTGGACAGCTGCAATGAAGAAGCGGGACAATATTATCAACAAACAGTTTCTCCACAGTTTGTATAGGACACAATCAAATAATATACGAAGAGTTCATTTGCAAAAACCGATAAACGCCATTTAAAAAAAGAATTGAGTGCTGTGCATTATTCTCCACATATAGCGCGATCTGAAGCCTAAACACGTTTTGTCAAAAAAGCCGGTATTGTCCACTTTCAAGCCGATAAGTCCATTTTAGCGAATCAGTGCGCTGTATTCAGGTCAGGTGACAAGGTTGCCAGTCACTTTGAAAAGACATGCTAGCTGAGAGGAGTTTCGTCAAAGCTGACTAAAAGTGATCGTTTTGTGAGTTACCTGTATTTGTTTAAGTTATTATTACTTAATCAAAACAACCCAACTGCAGTTTGATTGAGATTACTTGGAATGCACAATAAAAAAAACATGATTTCTGAAAATACATAAGAGTGGAGTTATCTGTTTTTGCAAATTAACTCTTCAATTTCAGCATGCTACAGTTTGACGAAAGCCGATACAGTTGAAAGTGACCTGGAGCGCAGCGGCGCCAGCTCCTGAATGTGAGTGCTGGTGTCCCGCGTGTCGTACACCAGCACAGAGCCGCTGAGGAGTTTCGTCAAAGCTGACTAAAAGTGATCGAGGATGGATAATTTCGACAAACTATATGCATGTTTAACTATATGTACTATACTAATATCTTCTTCAGGGCGAAAAAGGAAAATAAAAGCTGAAACTTTTTCATGGAGTCTTGCAAAAGCAGCACGTTACAATGGTGAGGGAAAAGCTCCGTGTATTGCGTACCATACAGTCTATGATCACAACAACGTTTGTCAGACGTCTACATTGTCATCTGAGGAGATTACAAAGATTAAACGAGTATTTTAAAACGAATGTTTTTGTTTAACTGAAACATGAGATGTGGAGTTATCTGCTTTTGCCAAAAACGACTGTTGGAGATATCTGCTTTTGCTACAAAACAAACTTTTGATATATATAAAAAACATACTTTCAATGAGCTTGAATTTTGTGAGTTACCTGTATTTGTTTAAGTTATTATTACTTAATCAAAACAACCCAACTGCAGTTTGATTGAGATTACTTGGAATGCACAATAAAAAAAACATGATTTCTGAAAATACATAAGAGTGGAGTTATCTGTTTTTGCAAATTAACTCTTCAATTTCAGCATGCTACAGTTTGACGAAAGCCGATACAGTTGAAAGTGACCTGGAGCGCAGCGGCGCCAGCTCCTGAATGTGAGTGCTGGTGTCCCGCGTGTCGTACACCAGCACAGAGCCGCTGGCGAGACCGGCGTAAATGTAGTTGTTGTTGTCATGGCACCAGCAGCAGCTCCACACGGGTCTGCCCGTGTTGTAGGCCTGAACCACCGTGTTCGTCATCAGACTGTGAACAAAACATCCACATGGAGCAACTCAGAAGAGTCTCAACATGCTATGTTCAGAGGCTGATGAAAAATTAGCATTGGTTTTTGGTGCATAAATCCAAATTTCCATTATTATGAGTTTCTGAGCAGTAAAATCACACCCAGAAAGAATAATCATATCTCACATATCTGTATTGAAAGTAATCCAATAAAAAGGAGTATACAACAAAATAATCCAGGCAGGCTGCACGCACAAACAAACCTACAGCATGACCAGTGTAGTCTGATTCACTAACAGATGATTCTTACCAACTGCTTCTTTTTAGTGAATAAAATAACTATTGACTAGTCTTGTCTGATTCTGGTTTAATAAATTGTTCAAAAAGACAAGTTACTGGTTTGAATCAGTTTCCCTGTATAAATTACAGCATTAAACAGAGAGAACAGACATCACAACGGATACATTTGATTATAGATTACAGTCAAAATTAAACAGAATCAAACCTAGAGCTTCTGAATCAGAATCTAATCAGGAAAGCGATCCTAGAGGTCGATGGATACTGGATTTTGACGATCATTGAGATACTATTATAGTTTTTGTAAGTATTTTAAATTTGACTATCTGTATATTTTCTTTTTAATTTTTAATAAAATATTAGTAATTTTGTTGCGTTATGTTAACTTTTATTAGTTTATTTATATGTTTAATACTGTATAGTTTTTATTTTTTTATTAACTATTTAAATTAATTTTAGTTTTAGTTATTTTAGTAGTAAATGAGATGCTGCATTGCAAGTATTTATTTATTTTTTAATATTTTACTTTATTTTATTTCTTATTTTATTTCAAGTAACATTTTTTTGTTTGTTATGGATTTTGTTTTAACCCTGCTGATAACAATAACTATGTTGGAATACCTGGCCAATCATTTACAAATTGGTCAAAAAAATTAAAAACCGGTAATACGTCCTATCATGAGAATATTTTGAAGAAAAAAACAAAAAACAAAAACTGTATATATATATATATATTAGTGCTGTCAAACGATTAATCGCATCCAAAATAAAAGATTTTGTTTACATAATATGTGTGTACTGTGTATATTTATTATGTATATATAAAGACACGCATACAGCATATATTTTGAAAATATTTTAACGTTTCTGTTCCTGTGTTCCTCTGTATTATTTCAGAATAATTCCGTTCCAAAACCGGTTTGCCTAGAAAAGTATACATATCTAAACAGTTATTGGTTTCCTTCTCTCCATAACAAATCCTCTAAAGTTAAGGCTATAGGCTATAAAAAAAACATTATTTTTAATTTTATTGACATGAAATATAAATATGATGCACAAGAAAAATTGATCAAGTCTTGTTTTTTTCTTGTTGTTGTTAAATGTTAGTTACAGCATAATGTCCATGTGCACTCATATGACGATTATACTGTATTTTTCAGATGTATATCGATTTATAGATACATAGATTTTATTTATATACTTTACCTTGCTCTTATGGTCCTTTGAACATAACTACATGAAGTGTATTTTGTAAGAACAGAACCAAAAAACTATTTATGTATCTAAAAGTCGGTGCAGATTAATCAGCATAAATTATATTATCAGTCAGTGTCAAATTAATTCCCAGCCTTGTGTTTTATATGCCATTTAATTATAGCAGGTGTAACTTGGTGTGCTTTGTTGGCTCTTAAGTATTTTGTAATAGAACATGTAATGCGAACACACAATTATTACACAGGAGGAAAGCATTAGTCTCTCACCTGGTGAGTTTGATTGTGTTGTCGAGGGCCGCAGACAGCAGAAGGCTGTCCTGGTGTCGGCTGAAGGCCAGACCTCGGATCTGTTTGGAGTGGATGGGAACATACTGACTAGGCTTGAGAGTCGCAGTGCTGATCTTCTTCACACCGAAGCCTGAGGGAGCGGCGCTCAATCAATCACTGCTTATATAAACAACGCAAGGAAAAAAATCAATGTGGAAGAGCTCAAATTCCTACCTGGCACCAAGGTTGCTTGTGGAGAAGGCTGAGACGCCAGCAGGCAGCCGAGAGGCTCACAGTAAGACAGAACCCTACTGCCCCCCGTCTGAGACACCAGCACAGCCTTAGAGAAGACATAATGTCCCCCGCTGGATGAGTCCTGCCTCTGGGACGACGAGAGAGACGCTCCCTGAGAGGAGCCGAACGCCGCCTGAGCTCTCCACCTCCTCAACTCCTACAGAACAAACACACAATACAGCAGCAAGGATGCTTTACTTCCACTAGAGACATGATCATGAAGCTCATAATATGTGGCTCTCATTTGTTGACATTAAATTGAACAAAATTAAATCGGCCACGCCACTCTTTCTAGATATGGGTTTTTGGACCCCATTGACTTTCACTGTATGGAAAGTCCCCCCCATCTCTCTCTCTCTAGAAATTTTCATTTCAATTTTCATTTTGGGGTGAACTATCAAATATGCTTACATAATAATACATTTTTAAACGTTTACCAAAATTGTAATATAACCATTTTTCATTCTGCTTTCCAAAGACTGGTCAAAAACCATTATTTCTTAATTAAACAATAATCGTTCTACTGAAAGCTCAAATTTTAAACAGTATGAAACAAAACAAAACAAAAATCAACATAAATACATAATCGATATACAAAATATCAATATTTTTTGTAAAAAAACCCCAAATTGGAACAATATTTTTTTGTTAAAAAAAAATACTGTATTTCCTGGAATACAGCTTATACAGTAAGCAAATTTTTTTTTGTAATATCTGAATCATGTTGAGACTTATAAATCAAAGTTACGTAATGCAATTAACGTCAAGCACGTGAAACATGCATAAAGAACATACATTTGAATTTTGGTGAAGAAAAGCCAACTTGTGAGGCAACTGTAAGTCACTATTTTTTAGATTCGTTTTATACGTATATTTTTTATTCCTATTCTGAATACCGTTAAATTTAAAGAACTTGAGTTGTGGAATGAAGGGAACTACAACACGTTTATATTTGTATTTACTACGTTTATAAACATTGTTTTTATTTTACATTTATTTACATTATTTCTGAAAGTAAAAGTAAAACTTACGTATACACTAGCTATGTTTCCATCCATCTATTTTTATGCGCATTTTGGGGTATCGCATAAAAAAAAACGCTGGATGGAAACACGAGATGTGCATAAATTCAAAAAATGTGAATAAAAAACGTATGCACACAATTGGATAAACTTTTTATACAATAAGAAAGAATGTGCATAAACACATTTACCGAATAAATTCCTTTATGCGCATCAAAAAAGTCATGTGACTTTGCAGGATGGGACGGGATAATTTGCCTAACCAGCGGACCGATCTCGTTCACAGCATCTAAATGTTGTTTTGGTCATTCTGAAATGCCTGAGCAAAGTCCGTCATCTAAGTATTTCTGTATAATTGTCTTACACGACTGAGTTCCCAAACAGCAGCATCCGCCTCCGAAAGCAATGACCGCATTTATTGTTTCGTAATTTATCATATATGAAAATGATTAGATTCAGTCGCTTCTACTACTTTTCTTAGTGATATTTAGTGCCAGTTTATCAGGAAGTGGCGATTTTGCTCTCTTTGACTCGTTGGATGGAAAAAGTGCTTTATTCGCAAATGTTTTATGCTATATTCCAGTTTTGCGCATTACTTAAATTTGCATCTTTGAATGGAAACATAGCTACAGGCTGTTTTTTTCTCTCAAAAGCAATTTTAAGTTGGTGTGTCTTATTTTACAGAAAACACTATAAACTAATATATTAAATTAAAATATATTTAATATATATATTAAAATAAATTACTCTAATAAAGGGTAGAAAAACTTTAGCATAACTTAATACAAATTAAATTTTTTTTTAGAACAGTAACACAGAAGCCAATTAAATTTTGCAAACATTATGCTGTCTTTATAACACCATGCTTCTTTACACAGTATAAACTTATTTTAATAGGTTAAAATATAAAATTGCCTTTATATTTAAGAAAGGGAGTCTCTTACAAAAACATTTGGCATCAAAATGCTTGAAAAGCCCCGTTCCAGATAATTAGTACCAAGACACATGAGATATAAAAGAGAGTTTCTCCTGAAAAAGACACACACCTCGACCTCTTTGCGCAGTCGCACATTTTCATCGGCCACGAGCTGCATCTGCTGACGACACTGAGCGCCTTCCAGCTGCTCCATTCTCCGCGAGCCCCGCTCCAGCTCTAAACGACTGCACACAGTCAAAACCATCAGCACAACCTATTCTGGAAATATATCAAGATAAAACAGCAGAACCAGGAATAAACTCTCACTGGAGCACCTCTTCAGTCGCACTTCCTCTGCGTTGTCCAGGGCTTTCAGTTTCCGTGCATAAAGAAAGATGATATGACCACGTTTGGCTGGTTTATTGCACTGAGGAGACACAAAATCTTTTTATTGACAGATTACATGACAAATATTCTTATAAAATAAAAATTAAAAAAACATTTAATTCTGTTTTTTTTTTAAACAGCTTTTTATGAAAGGAGTTTCACAAATCTACAATATTAGATAAAATGCAAAAGAATGTTTTGCAATATACTTCAAATTATGTTTCTAAACATTTGTTTAATAAACATTTCTATTAACATCATTAAAACAATACAGTAAAAAACAATTATTTAAAAGAAAAATGTGTATATGCATTTATACAGCCACTCGTGAAAATATTTTAAAAATGTTTTTTTTTTTTAAGATTTATTTTTGGCGTTTTATGCCTTTTATTTAGATAGGACAGTAGGTCGACAGGAAGCGAAGTGGGTGAGAGAGAGAGGGGGGTGGGATCGGGAAAGGTCCACGAGCCAGGACTTGAACTCGGGACGCCCGAAGCGCTAAGGCGCTACATGTCAGCGCGCTGCCCACGAGGCCATCTGCGCTGACAAAAAATGTTTATTGAAATCAAATTTCTTTCCATACTTTTTTTGGCTGTTCTTTTTTTTTTTATTAAAACAGGTTAATGTAACTGCATCTGTGAATTTTTACAGCCAGACGTAAAAATATATTTTAAATATTTCTTAAAATTAATGTTTTGTTTTATATATTTTTTGTTAATTGAAACAGGATCATTTATTTCCATTGGGGAATTTTTACAGCCAGTTATGTAAATACTTAAAAGTTAGTGCTGTCAAATGATTAATCGTGATTAATCGCATCCAAAATAAAAGTTTTTGTTTACATAATATATGTGTGTGTACTGTGTAAATTTACTATGTATATATAAATACAAGTACATGCATGTGTAAATATTTTCAAAATATATGCTGTATGTGTGTGTATTTATACATACATAATAAATATACACAGTAAACACACATATATTATGTAAACAAAAACTTTTATTTTGGATGCGATTAATCATTTGACAGCACTATTAAAATATTTCTTAAAATTTATGTTTTGTTTTACATAATTTTAATTATTTAAAATTAAAACAGGATAATATAGCTGCATTTATGAATTGTGATCCACCCATCACATCCCTATTTACAGAACTAAAAAAAAAAAAAAAACATTTTAAAGTGTCAAATGTAATTTTAAATAACTCAATGAAGCAGATAATCAGGCCTTTAATTCTAGCACAATGTTCATTCACTGAAACTGTGAAACACACCTGTGGACATTTATTTCCTCCACTCGTCAACCAGCGGGAAATACAAATATAGCCGAAGAGGTGACCACAGCGAAGAGCGGCCAAGCGGTGGTCACCTGCCGTGGTCCAGGGCTCAAAGCAGATGGAGCAGGTCTCTCCCTCAGCATCATCTGCTTCGGTCTTTCCTGCGGGACTCGCAGCAGCGGTGACGGGATCCTCCGACTCAGACACAGGCTTTGTATCAAATTTGATACAAATTTGGAAGAGACAAGTCACAATGAAGCCAATGACAACTGGCATTCACAATCCACTTCACTACAATGATGTGCCGCATTTCCAACTGAAACCAGATATTCTGCCGCTTTGATAGAGAGTCGTAGTTTTGATGATTTTACATCATTATAAAGGCACAACAGTTGAAGACAAATTGTCAATATGAAACGATCAGTCACCTCAGTCTCTTGTTGTGACTCGTCCGGATGAGCGGCTGCTCTCGTCCCTTCAGCCTCTGTAGAAACACTGGACCCTGAATTATACAAAAACATATGGCTTCACTTCATATGCAAAGAACTTAGCCAATTATAACAAAGGGCATCATGTCTTAATGATACAGGAGTAAAAAAAGGGTTTAATTCTAAGGATCAGAAAAGGAGTGAAAAATATGGCTGAATAGATCCAAAAAATAAATTAATTAACATTTCATTATCGATTAGTATAGTTTGATCTCCTATTTTATTGTTAATTTTGTAACTGTAAATCATTGGCACATCCACAGTTTTTTTTTTCCATTAAAAAAAAAAAAATGCAAAAGGAAAAGTCTTTTTACAGGGATGCAGAATTAGAAATCTAACCAGCAACAATAAAAATAATTTTTATTCTTTAGCTGATATAAAATATTATAATTTATTTTTATGTTAGATGATATTAGACATTGTGATTTATTTATATATTAGATGATATTACATATTTAAATATATTTAGACAAATTCAAAACCTAGATTGTACAATTTTAGACATCATAATATTATAATGCATGAAAATGTATATTTAGTTTGAAATATGAAATACGGTTACACTTAAAACGGTTGATAATAATCAGAGACAGATGACAGCAAAGGTGATTTAAATGTAAAAAAGGGAACAACCGATTCAATTAAATATTCAGTTTCAGCCAAATTACATCCAATATCGATTATTATGGTAAAAGAAAATAATACTGCTACAATTGATATGTTAATGATATATTACGCACCCAATGTTACATATTTAGTTGTTAAATTTAAGATTATTATGTCAATTTAAATTATCAATATTGATAGCAGCAATTCTAGTAGTAGATTGTTATAAAGAGCTTAACAATTAAATAATTTAAAAGATAGCTGGGAAGATATACATCTGACCTAAAATTGTTATGAAACGAGAAATGAAATGGCAGTGGACCTGCAGCGCTGGATTCATCAGACGTCTGCACATTCGCAGCAGCGGTGCGGCTGGAGCTGGTTTCAGGGGCCAGCGGTGGTGGATCTGTGTGAGGAACTGAGCGCTGTGTGTCCTGGGAGCCACTCAGCCGCTCTACCAGATTCTCTGCGATGAGCTCCCGGAGTCTGCGCATCCTCTCTTCACGTGTGGAGAGCTGCGAATGTGTCCTTGGAAAACAGGAAGGACACCAGAAAGATCGAGTCATACAGCGACTCCATACTGTCGTTGCAGGAAAAAGTAAGTGAACCCTTTGCATTCCCTTTTAACTTGGACAAATTATGCACGTTTAATTTTATGAGCATTAACCCGTTCTCTTACCCAATTATATGTCTCCTCCTGATCGCCCGATGGGCTGAAAGTCTGGGTCGCTCAGATGGGCCTTGATCCTGCATGGGAACATCCTCTTCCTCTGTGTTGCTTTCAGACTCAGAGACTACAATCACACTGGCCTCACTGGACACTGGAGCTACTTCCACCTCCATATCCTCCATCTTCAAATGCGTTCTGCAGGAGACACCACAAGAAAGAATTAAGGACTGAAACAGGGTTGTTATTGCTAAAGAGGTCATAGGATGCCCATTTTCCACAAGTTGATATGATTCTTTAGGGTCTTAATGAAAAGTCTGTAACATAATTTGGTTAAAATTTCTCAATGGTAGTGTAAAATACACCTTTTTTAACCCGGTCAAAAACAGCTCTTTTCAGAGCATGCAGTTTTGTAGCATTTTCCAGCGGCTCAGATGTCGGGAGTAAATGACAACTGCTATGTTCATTATTACATCCAACAACAGAACACCTCAATCGCTTAGGAGTCATTCTTGTCTACATCTGTTCTGGCGGTGAAACAATGGCGGACTGATGACAGCTCACTCAGGGCGTGTCTAAGGTAAGACACCACTCCAGTCTGTGCTGAAACGCTACTGTCAATCAAACTATCGTGGGAGGGGCCTGTCTGTGTGACGTCACACAGACAGGCATCTGAGATCGGCTCGATTTGAGAAAGGGGTAAAGATTTTAGTAGATTAACAAAAAAACACTGGGTGGATTTTTATCATTATAGGGTGGTTGTGTACACACACTGCCAACACACATTTCAGTTCAAACAACTTGTAAAAGTGCATGTAGCATTATATGACCCCTTTAACTAAAACTAAGATTAAAGGGATAGTTCACCCAAAAATGAAAATTCTGTCATGATTTACTCACCCTCAAGTTGTTACAAACCTGTCTGAGCTGACGGCAGCCATTGACTTCTATAGTATAGAAAAAAAGATACTATGGAAGTCAGTGGCTACCTTTAACTGTTTGGTTACCAGCTAGGGCTGCAGTGCAAATAATCGAACGCGATGATCATGCGCATCTCGTCAGTAAAGCCGGTTCTGTGATTAGTAGGGCTGGGCAATATATTTTAAAAAAATTATATCTTGATAGTCACATTTTTTACGATATTCGAGATATATCTCGATATGTTTGCATATTCTTTTAAATAATAAAAAAAACATGAATTTATTTTGCCCCCATTAAAAAAACAACAAAAACTATTTAGATAGAAGTTATTGTTACAAAGTAAATACAATATATATAAATTAATACCAAAGACTTATGCACTCGCACTGTCTATATTATGAAAACTGGTAAAACAAATGAAAAATATTATATCAGTGAAATTCCTAATAGTAATTCCAAACTGCCATAGCCTATGTTTCTCTATTCAAACAACAGCGGTTGAGTAAGTGCATTTATTCAGCGATCACAATCGCAAACAATACAGTCGAGATCTCATGACAGAACACAGACTGGTTGAGTGACACTTTCATTTAGATCGCTAAACTCCAGCTTGTTTGTTGGCGTTTTCAGATCATCAGCAGCGGCGCTTCCGCAATGAGGAGTGAGCGCGTGCGAATGGTCGCCAGATTGCTTAAAATAAGCAAACACTGGGCAGAAAATGTATGCTTGTACAGCGAAGCTCTGATTCGGGGATTAGAACTCTTGATATCTGGCAACCGCACTCATGAAAGCTCACGTAGTAGAGGCGTGTAGAGCAGTCCGCAATAACATGTTGTCTCCTTATCTGGATGTTCGGCGCATTATTTTGGGAAAGTATGCTTGAATTTGAAATATTCGATATTCACAATATTTTCAAATTTTACATCGTCGTCAAAATTATCGCGATATTATCGCTAATATTCAATATATCGCCCAGCCCTACGGTAAAGAAAAACAATTAATGTAATATTTGAAGTATTTATAA